TATATATATATATATATATATATAATTGAAGTTTTGATCCTCCAAATTTAGTGTAAGAGCAATTTTAATTTTTAAATTTTAATTACTTAATTTTAATCCACAAATTCAAGTAATGAATAATTTTAGTCCTACAAATAATTTATCATCCAAAATTTAGACGTTAATGATACAGATTTTGTGCTACATAAACATTAATTATATGTTATTTAATTTCTTACATGTCAAATTATTTAATATTCAAATGTCAAAAATTTTAAATTCAAATAATATTAATTTTGTTTTTTTGGAAATAAAAGTCCAATGATTTGATTTAGCGGTGAGTAGATTAATTTGTATGAGAAAGAAAAAGTGTTAATCTACATGAGAAATGAAAAAAGGATTGGGTTAATAAGGTTGTGTTTTTTCACTTTTCAGTAAGTGATGGTAATTGTGTGTGATAGCCATAGTTTATATCGGATGTGTATAACTGATGGAAGATCATCCTTTGAGACACATGTGAGCCTCATCACTAGGTCTATAACTAGGAGAGTGGAAGAGGAAGAGGGAGCTCACACACCAAGGGACACCCTCCTCATGATCATAAAGTACTAAATACTCTCCTAAGCCTCATTAGCATAGGGTTTATTTTATTTTTCAATTTTACCCTTGTATTTTGGGGTGTTTAGGACATAACAATTATTTTCTTTGTATTTCCTATTTTATACTTGTATTTTGGGGCACTTAAAATTTAGGCTTTTATTTCCTAGGTGATGTAAGTGTTTGGGCGTGACAAAAATGGACCTTTTGGGCTAAGGAGAAGCATTATCCCAAGTGGAAGGGCACCTAGGTTGCATTCTCCTATTATGCACCTAGGTGTAGCCTAGCTTAACCCAAAAAGGTACCATTTTTAGGGTAAGGTGGGCGGCACTTTTAGGGTTTATTTGGATGTCATTTGGCATGCATTTCCTTCCCATTTAGGGAAGCAATGATCATCCAATGGTGGCCTAGCCGCCACCCTCCCTAGGGTTTTGTGATGTCACCCCACACTTATAAATATCATAGGCATCACACCTTGTAAATACTTTGGATATTAAATATAGAGAGAGCCTTTGAGCCTTTATATCATCCTTAGTCCCCTTGGCTATTTTCGGCCACCTACCTACCTCTCTCCACCTTGAGAGAAAAATCCTAGAAGTGGCCTTCAATTACCTTGGAGTGAGCCAACCCTAGAGTACACCTCTCAAACATTTCATCAAACACTTCATCCACACCTCTCATTTCCGGCCATTCCTCCATTAAAGACGCCCTTTGAAGAACTTGATCTAAGGAGTCCAAAGCATCCCTTGCCATTATTCATCATCTCTTCTTCAATGGAAGCAAGGATGCCATCATGTGGTATCTAGAGCCTTGGTTCTTCAAGGGTAACATTTTCCTTGTCTTTGGTATTTTTGGTCATGTCATTTGTGTCTTCTTGAATGTCTAAATTGTTGTGCTTAAATGTGTCATCATCTTGCCATATTTTGATGATCCATAAATCTCCTTTCATGTGTTGATTCATACCATATCTTCCTTGTGAATCATCTTGACATTTTTAGGCTTTCTTATTTAGGTTCTTACCATTTTTCTTTAAATTTGAGTTGCTGGAAAATTTTGGGTTGCATGATATATTGATGATTTTTATTTTATAATCCATCTGGTTTTGTCATAAACTTGTCTCCTTTGAACTACCTTGAAAGAAATTCCAAGTTTTTATGCTTAGCCTTTGAAATGAACAAAAAAGGACATGCATGCCACTTATTTGATGAAATGGCCTTGAGTCCTTGATGTGTTTTAGAGAATCATTCATGCATGCTAAGTAGCTCTAGCATGTTCTACATCCCTAAAATATCATGTATAATTACATCCTTTACACATTTTTGCTTTGAAATTTTTGGCCATTCTTGAGTATTTCCTAGTGCACTTGTATGCCTACATGTTGTTTGATGATTTGAGTATGACAAAAATGACTTTATGTCCATGTTTTTGCTGTTGTACATGTGCACACTAAAACTTTAAGAAAACACTCAAATCTCATCTCATTGAGTCATCATAGGTTAACAAAATGATGGAGGACCATCCTTGGAGCTTCATGTGGGACCCATCAATATATATCTATCAAATAATATATTCCAAAATTTGGGTGCTTTATTAGAACAACTAAGGTAGAAGGAGTCCTAAAAAGAGGAAAGTTTTCTTCCTTGGGAACCTCCAAGGAAGTAGCACAAGAAGTGGAACTAAGTGTAGTCCACTCCTTCTTCACTACATCTTGAAGTTGGGATTCGTTTTTCTTTAAAATATTTTGTTCTAGAATCTCTACTTCATGACTAGTGGTAACATTAGGGTAAAAGTTAAGGTCTTTATTTAGGAAAAGAGTATTTTGTAAATGATTTTTAGTGATAGAACAACTCTCTTCACTCACAAGTCCTTTAGAGGAAATATTTTCCTCCTTACTCTTCCCTAAGAGCAATGCTTTTTTTCTTTTGCCAAAAGTTTTTCTTCCTTTTGTTTAAGAATGCGAATTTCTTCCTCCAAAATTGCAATTTGTGTGTTTCTTTCAAGTTTTTCTTTCTCTCTTCTTAACACTTCTTGCTTTGTCCAAGGTGTTAGTGATTTAAGCTCTTAAGTAGGATGTGAAAAACTTTTTGGAGAGCTTGAGTCACTACCACTTGAGGAATATTTTATCATGATTAGACAAAAAGAATTTTATATGCTATGCAAAAAAAAGAAAATTATTTTTGGTCTTTTCTAGGAATAAGACTAACACTTGGAAGTCTAACTGTACAAATTGCACTATCAAGGGAGGTGAGCTACTAAGAGCCACTTAATAACCAAGCCTTTTCAAGTGGAAATCACTAAACTTCCTTGTGGTATTCTTAATTCCACAAATTGTTTTCACAAATTTTTTTTAATGTTTGATGATTTTCACAAGTGTTTTTTTTTTTATTACAAGTAATGATGGAGTTCCTCCTTCCATGATTGATGTAGGGTGTGAAGGGGGAGTCCTTGCCCTTGATCTAGGCTCACCAAAGGGTAGACAAAAGGGGGTTTATGGTGGACAAAAGATTTTAGGCGTGAAAGGATGTAAGGTGGCGGAAGTGTTTGGTGAATGGTGTATGGTTGCTCAAGGTTGGCTCACTCCAAGTGTAGGTGGAGGCCACTCTAGGGTTTCACTCTCCAAGGGTGGAGAATGAAGGGGGCTAGCCGAAACTAACCTAGGGACTAAGGATAGGATTTGAGGCAAAGAAATGCTCTCTCAAATTCATATAATCCAAAGTATTTACAAGGTGTGGGGTGTTGGGTATTTATAGGAGGGGAGGCATCTAGGGTTTCATTTGGAGTATGCATGGCCGAAATTCACAAGGCAAATGCACTCCAAATGAAATGCCAAATGAACCCTAGATGCAACTTGGTGGCCAAGGATGGAATCTATGGGTTTAGATTGGCTATATCTAGGTGCATGATAAGACCATGCAACCTTTGCCCTCCACTTGGGCCTAAGCCTTTCTAACACCAAAAATAGATCCAAGGAGACCAAAAATGCGTCACCCTTCTAATTTAACACCCTAGCCCAAAATTAAAACCCTAATCATCTAAAGCACCCCATAATACAAGGGTAAAATGGGAAATACAA